TAAAAAAAAAAAAAAAAAAAAAAGGGCAAGTTCTACCAACAAGTCTTTGAAATTATCAGGCCCTTTTAGCTCTAAATTGTAGGGTAATTAGGATGAATGCCTCTGAAAACTGGAAGGACCTGGGAATAATGGCAGGCTGGAAACTGAGAGGCATTATGACTACATTTAATAATAATAGTTACCATTTACTGAGTACATACCATGTTTAAAGCTGTGCCAGGAATTGTGTATACATTAACACATTGAATCCTTAAAAACAAATACAAACTTTTGCAGACTGGAAAACAGATTCAGAGAGATTAAACAAAACTTGCCTGAGCTTGCAGCAGCGAGTAAGGAGTAAAACTGGGGTTTGCATTCACGTCGGCCTTTCTCCAAAGCCCATATACCACAGTGTTTTTCCTCCACTGACACCATTCTGCTGCAAAAATAATATCATCATCTAGCACGTCCTTGTCACACTGGTTCACCCACTTGTGTTCTTGTCCTAGATATTTGGCCATTGTCCACCCGCTGAGACCCCGGATGAAGTACCAAACAGCCACTGGCTTGATCGCCTTGGTGTGGGTGGTGTCCATCCTCATCGCCATCCCTTCGGCCTACTTCACAACTGAAACGGTCCTCGTCGTTGTCAAGAGCCAGAAGAAGATCTTCTGCGGCCAGATATGGCCGGTGGACCAGCAGATCCTCTATAAGTCCTACTTCCTCTTCATCTTCGGCATAGAGTTCGTGGGCCCCGTGGTCACCATGACCCTGTGCTACGCCAGGATCTCCCGGGAACTCTGGTTCAAGGCGGTGCCTGGTTTCCAGACGGAGCAGATCCGGAAGCGGCTGCGCTGCCGCCGGAAGACGGTCCTGGTGCTCATGTGCATCCTCACCGCCTACGTGCTGTGCTGGGCGCCCTTCTACGGCTTCACCATCGTGCGCGACTTCTTCCCCACGGTGTTCGTCAAGGAGAAGCACTACCTCACGGCCTTCTACGTCGTTGAGTGCATCGCCATGAGCAACAGCATGATCAACACCCTGTGCTTCGTGACCGTCAAGAACAACACCATCAAGTACTTCAAGAGGATCATGCTGCTCCACTGGAAGTCGTCTTACCGTGGGAGTAAGTCCAGCGCAGACCTCGATCTCAGAACCACGGCGGTGCCTGCCACGGAAGAGGTGGACTGCATCAGGCTAAAATAACCGGATGGACCTTTCAGAGTCAAGACACGGACATGACCTTTGGCCCAGGGCCCAGTGTGCTTAGATACACACTATCAACCAAGCGCTTCTGGTTTGCCACCGGGGGCAGAGTGCATGGATGACTGGGTGAACGCTGTTTTCTAGGAGCTCAGATTTTTTTTCTGAAAGTCAAGTGACTGACTAGACCACCATTACCAGTGACTGACATTCATTAAACATCTAATTTGTGCAAAGATTAGGCCCTGGTGAAGCCTATCTATGTTGATAACATTTGATTGTCAAAAAAGAAATAGGGATTGATTACACCAAGAAAAATGTTAGGGCACACACAGCCTGGAATAAGGGCCTTCCAGCAGGCAACCCAAGTGGGCACTAGGACTGTGGTTCATGTGTTTGTTGGGTGAGGGTCTCGCTGGACCATCTCAGCTACTCACCAGACACCGACGTAGCCAATCTCTAGGGTGGTTCTTAGGCTTGGTTCACTCCTAACATTTGTGGGGTTGGGGCCAGAATACAAAACAGCCTCCTGATTCTTTCTTCAACCCTTGTCTTCTCTTCCCTGCTTTTGACTCACAGGGAAGCATGAGGAGCCTTACATATATGCACATGAACACCCCAGTCTGCATGGCCAAGTTTTGTCCAAGCCCTCTTCCCCCAATCGCCCCATACCCACCCCTCAGGCTTAGGGCTGTGCCCAGATAGGGGCTCATCGTAAGTAAGAGGGACCTGGGCAAGAAGCCACATAGACCCTGGAAGCCATTTGGACAGGAAATGATGGGGTTTTAAGTACCTGGGACAAGTCAAGAGGGGAACGCCTTGGCTCAGGATGGGTACGTTCCCTTGGCTCAAGGAACTTCTTGCCCCATAGGAAGGGGCACAAGTAGAGGACCTCTGAAACTGTGTGCGGCTCAGGACAGGGGCTCAGGTTCTCTGGGCCTAAGGGTGATATTGCTTCCTACCTCTCAGGTATTCTGGCTTGGACCAGTTAGGCTTCTCCTTAAAGTTTTCTCTTCTCACGTTTCTAGATTTTGAAGCATAGAATTTTTGAAAGTAGACACAAAACCTCGTGGATGCGGCTATCAGCCATTTTTTCATTCCCACCAGCTCACTCTCATTGTTATGGTTTGAGGGCAAGATGTCCTTGTCATTGGTGCCTGAATCCCATCATAGTCTTTATCACTTTGGATTAAAACTTGATTCTCTTTTAAAATGGAGGTATTCTTAGAGGGATAACCCATCATAGTTCCACTCTTCAGTGTGAATGAAGGCATGCAGTCCAATGGCAAGAAGCTCAATGGTAGAGCCCTGGACACTCAGGAAAGAAAAGGACATACAAGTGACTTGGGGGGTGGGGGGCAATAATGAGATTCAATGACTCCACAGGCTTATTGGGAGCTCATCCCAGTTTCTAACCACCTCCTTTGGTGTGTGGAATTTTGAAATTTGGAATTTTGGAGCCAGAAGATCGGTTTCAGCCTTGGTTCTGTCACCAGTGTGATTCTGGGTAAAGCCTCTTGGAGGGGATGAACACAATATCTGTGATAGCTGCCAATGAGCTGGTTGTGAAGAGCCAATGAGATAATATGTGGAAGAACTCTTTCTACCACACAAGTAACCAAAAGAGTGGACTAATAACTGTGTGTAGTGTGCCTGGACAAGTACAAACTTGTTGCCTTGGGTTTTGTATCTAGAAACCTCACCATCTTCCTCTTTAATTATTCTTTGTGGAAATTATTCCCTTATACCTCTTAGTAGTGCTACACACATTATTTTCTTAATAACAGGTTGATACAACAAATTTGGTGGTAGAAGTGTAAAAGGAAGTGGTATATCAGTCTCCAGTCAGAAGATGAGTTCAGGGTTTTAAAAACTTTCAAATCAAAGCATCTTTGTGATTATGGACGTATTGACCATCTTCCTATCCCAGCCAGCATGATTGTGGGCAATGTGACATTTTTTTTCTCAATCTGTTTTTGTTCTCATGAGTGTGTACAGCTATAGAACTGACTTGTCCTTTTCTTCTCAAATAATTCTAGAGCAGCACATTTATAATGCAATTTATGTGACACCTGTATGTCGTTTCCCCCTCCAAATATAGTTAACTATTTTTTGCAGCAAAGTTTATTTTTTTATAGGTATTTTATTTCCCTGGAAGATACATTTCAAAAATCTATTTTCCCCATTCATCATCTAGCAGATTTACACTAAAGTTTAATCAGAATAACCTCAGAGAATGATAACCAATTAAAATATTAGCCTAAATCCAACATGACTTGGAAGACAATTCTTACTCTTTATAAAACCATGTATTGCATTATAAAATCAGGAAAGTTAGTTTTTAGACTAAAAATAATAAAATAATGATAGAATTTGCTGTATGTTAACCTTTTCCATAAGAATGCTAAAAAACGTTTGGCTATATTAAATAGGAGCTTTTTATATGTGACAACCAACCCTCTTTCTGCTTTTCAGCCTAAATTATATCAATTTTTCACTCATTTATCTATACTATTTCTAGATATTGTGCCTGCTTGTGATTTTATAGTGAATGAAATTGTTTGTGTTGTTATCAAGTGAAATAAAAATACATATATAATCATTCACCATAGTGTTTCTCTAATTTTCACATACACCCACTCAGTTTTCTAGTTATAGTGTGATGGTTCTTTGAATGAACATTGAAGAAATGCTGACTCCATGACCATATGAATTGTGAGAACAGTGCTAACTCATCATATTGCCTACCAGCTTCTCCTCTCCATCATAAAGAGGTTTAACTTATTAATATCTTCATCCTATAAGTCAGCACTGGTAAAATCATTAATACTTTTCGGCATCTGAATGCCAAGAATGGAAATCTGAGGACTTATTTATACCTGTTACATGAACTAAGGCTAACCCTCTGAACAGGCTTAATACCTGCAGTGCAGGGTGAACTAGGGGATGAACCTACACCACCCCACCTTGTTCAGGTTCGTGGCTGATTCACTGAACTGAGCAGCAGCCTGCCCCACTGATGGCTTCTCCAAAAACTGATTGTAAGCCCAACAAGGTGACACGTGTGCTCCTGTGTTTCTTTTCTGTTCTCTACTTACTTTCAATATGCAGAGTGATATGCACATTGCCTTATACAGAAGGATAAAGATGTGATTTTGTAAAATTAGACCATTTATTTAACTAAAGCAAAAGAGAATGACAGATTTACAATGAAGGTTTTAGAGATTTTGCCTAATGAACACACATTTAAAAAATAATTTCTTCAAAGACATTAAAGTATGGCAATGTGACAGTCAACACAGCAAGCCCTCAAGCGTGAAACAAGTTCCATGCTTGTTGTGGAAAAGAATGTTAAAGAACTTGTGAGATGGCCAGAAAATTATAAATACAAGCCCTGTTCCTTGAAAAATATGATAAATTTTGGAACGAATCCATAAAGAATGATCCAATTCTTCCTAGAGTGTAAGTGAGAATATCAAATTCAAGTTACTCATTTTATTGTTGATGAAACTGAAGCCCAGAATGGGGAAGGGATGTTCAAGTTCACACAGCTGGTCACTGTGAGAGCCACGATCGGACCCGAAGACTCCCAAAGCTCAATTCAGGGTTCCTCCACCACAGGGAGGAACAATCTTGGAAAGGGAAGGATCCTTTCCAAGAATCCTTGAGATGACTATTCAACTGCAGTCTGGCTCTCTCTGGAGACCCTTAAGGACTTCAGCAGAAACATTCCTAGTTCCTTTGTAAGCCAAGTTTAGCTCATCTTACCCCTGGGAACTCATAGCACAGACTTTGAGATCAGGACGTTTTAGGGAAGAACTGCAAAAAAAATGTTTACCACTGCTCTTACTTTTTCCCTTGCCTAGTTGGGGGTCTCTAGAACTATAAATGGAAAGATAGCACACCCCTGTTCCTAAGAACAGCTGCCCTGCCTTAGGAGCAGAAGAGAGAGATAAAGAAGCCATGCTTGGCTCAATGTTCAGAATGGACAGCAGGCCTATGTGTTCAGAGTTCAGTGGCATTAGACGGCCACCTACTGCTGCCACTAGCGAAGACAGGAGAGGTGGGGAAGGCTTTTTGGATGAGGTGGGACTTGAACTGGACAAGTAGAATGGAGAGAAGCAAAAGGGCAAATACTCTACATGGGAAGAGAAACATTTCTTTTATCTGCTCATGGACACTGAAATTGATTTTTCCTAGGGGAGAAGACTTCTTACACAATGAAGGGATTGTCATCCCTGAAAGAGTTAACCAAAAAACTGAAAGACACAAACAGACATAAGTAATGTTAGAGCCTTAATCTAAGAGTGGGTTTTGATAGGAGGTGGGAGAGGAAAGGAGAGACAGGAATTAGCCTTAGGAAGCTGGTCTGTATGATGGGGTGAGGGAGGCATCTCGTAATTAGGAAAAAAAATAAGAGAAAGGACGCAGAGGAGAAAGTTGTTGAAAACCAAATTTGACTGAATTTAATTCTAACAATGAGGAGCATTACAGGAATTGTCTTGCTCAGACCTTAGAACCCTCCAGGGCGGGGGTGAATGTCACTCTCCTTTTACAGATAAGAAAATCCAGTCTCAACTTGGAGAGGTTGCTCTAGGTCACACAAAGAGTGAATGGTGCTCTGGGATTTGATCTCCAGCAGTTGGACTCCAGAGCTCATGTTTTTTTTCTTTATCACACTGTGCTGCAGCCTTTAAATGATTTTTCTAGGCCTTCCTTGTATTTTCTAGTAGACAAAATAAATGCCTCTCTCCTTAAGTTCAATCATTATGTGATAAATCATCTCTCTTAGATTAGATTTTTCTCAAAAACTGAGAATAGCAGAACTTCTACCTTTATTTTTCCTTCTATGAAGAACGTTGTTCACCCTAAACAGCTAACCCAAATGCAGAGGTCCTTAACTTTCCAATGTCATGGGTGCTTTTGGCATTGAAGTTTACAGGCCCTTCACAAAATAATGTTTTCAAACTTATTAAATAGAATACATAGGAATGCCAAAGAAATCAATTATATTGAAATGCTGTTGTCAAAATATTTTTAATAGTTATCAAAGTATTTTGTATACATCTTTATATCAAATTTATTTGTATTAAATCTTTATTTAAAGCCTTAAATAACAAGATTTAGCATCAGAGGCAATAACTACCATAATTGTGAAGTAATGATGAATGTGAATGAAGTTTTGAGATCTCTCCCTAAACTAAAATATGATCTAAAATATCTGTGATTCCACTTGGGGAGAGTTTCAAGGACTGCTGATACGAGAGTGGTTTGTTGCCTATGTCATAATGGCAGGAAATACTAAAGCTTAGTTACAGGTTAGTGAGAATAACAATGGATTTTTTTCTATTCATGTTCATGGCCCCTGAACTGGTTAAGAAGACTTGCCTGAGAAGGAGTCCTAAGGCAAGCACACCCGACTGGGTGCTGGTAGAAACGGAGATGGCAGGAAGAAAGAGGCACACACATTTAGGGGTAACGAAATCAATAGGTTGTCATCTTCTGGTAAAGACACCTCAGCAGACATTGTGGTTCACCAGCTCTCTGCTCTGTGCTTTCTCAGTGGCCCCAGGCCTCATTGTGTGACAAAGATTCATCTGAGAAGCCGGAGAAGTCTGTCTTTATAAGTGGGATGTGCAGGACTCTTTCATATTATTATTTAACAGATGTGTATTGTTCTATGCTGTGATATCACACAGATAAAGACGACGTGATTCCAGCTGTTGTCCCGTAATGGTGCTCCTAAGGAGACAGGGTGTTTTGGCTGCTGGGCAGCAAAAGGCAAAATCCTATCAGAGCAGCACTGCAGACTGGCTTGCCAAGTTGACTGTTTCGCTCTCTTTTCATTTGTAACTTTCTGTTGTTATATTCATTATTTTGTTTCTGCTTTCCTTATTTTAATTTTGTTGGTCTTTTCATATCTTCATGAGTTGAATACATAGCTCCTTTATATTTATTCTTTCTTGTATCTTATGAGTGATTAAGAGAGTAAGTTCCCTTTGAGCAGAACTTTACTCTTGGTTGGATGTAGAGAATATCTGTAGCTCTGAAATATATCTTTTTGCTTCATTATGTTTGATACATGTATTCCTCAGTTCATGGTTTCCATATTCTTTTTATATATGTGAGACATCCAGCATTTGTAGTATTTATTTTTATTTGTTTCCCATGATATTTATTTCTTCCAGAGTAAGCTATTCATTTTTTTTTTTACAGGCTCCACTTTTTTCATTTTTCTCCCTCCCTCCCTTCCTTTCTTCCTTTTTTTCTTTTTTCCTTCCTTTTTTTTTTTCTTTCTTTCTCCCCCTCCCTGTTTTCTTTTTGCAAAACTGCACATAATTTTCTTGTTGCTTCTTTTAATTTTACTCACCTTGGACAATACACTGGATATTAGAGCTGGTTCTGTCCAAAGTGACTATCTATGTAGCTCTCTCTATATATACTTGCTGTTGTTTATTTCATTAGGTTTTATGATCTTATGTCTCCTTCACTATAATTCCCAGAAGCCCATCGTGTTTATGTAAAAGAGTGCTATAGGAAGATTGGTATATTAGAAGAATTCGTGCCCAGAAGGACTGGAATCAGAAAGACCAATTGGGATGCAGTAGAAATACAAAAGAGATGGATGGAATGAAGGTTTTAAAGTGTTACTGGAGATAAGGAGCCTTGAGGCGTAGGAAGGGATGATGCTGGTGTTTGTGGTTGGGTGACTGAAAATTCAGGAGCAAGAACTGATTTAGGGGCCAGATAAGCAGTTTATTATTAGTTATGTTGGTTTTGAGGTACTGATAAAATATTTAAGTATATCCAGCAATTAGCTAGAAATTTAGGAGAAAATTGTAAGTTACAGAGATGTGGTTATTGTCCACATTGACCTAACACAAAAAATTAGGCTGTCAAATAAGATTCACAAATTACAGCTCTTATTCAATGTCAAGCTTTACGAATAATCTCAACTTTCAAGAGATCAAGAGGCTCAGGTAAAGTAGAAGTTGTCTAAGACAATTCCATGGCTACGCAGGCCCTTCCTTTCTATGTCAGACATGGTCTTTGTCCTAAAATAAATGATGAAATCTCTAAATGAGGTTTTCAGATCACCACACTGGGTGGAGAACGTTTAAGTTATGAACAATCTCCATTTTTTTTCTTTTTCTTTTTTTTTTTTTATCACAGGTCATCACAGGGATTTTGTGAGATCTATTAGAGGTCATGATTCATACATATAGAATCTCATTTTATTTAACATAAGTAATCCTGAAACAGGGATATCCTACTAAGGACATTTCACAGATAAGAACTCTTCATTTAAAATCATCAGTCAATTCCAGGAGATCCAGTGATCAACAGGTTTACAGGGAGGTTAGATTGGGCCACCTGCCTTCTCACCTAGGGGGCACCTGCTTGGTAATATGGAGAGAAATGGACCACAGACACTCTGATTTAACACATTTTTTCCCTCGCATAAACTCAGCAATTGAAGTCTTTGGAATGGATGAAAAAAAAATGAAAGAACAGATTCTATAGAAAAAAGTA